TAATAATAATAATAATAATAATAATAATAATAATAATAATAATAATAGTAAAAATAATAAAAAAAACATATACATAAATATAATATGTATGTATATGATTATGTATACATATATAAATATAGATGTATGCACCAACTACGTCTATGGATTATAATAATAATATTACCGCTCTACGTATATAATATATTTTATGTATACAAGTTTCAAAAATTCACTAAAAACAATAACCGCTATATTATGCTAAACCATATATGTATTGTAATATATGTATTTATGTACGAGTATCACATATGGTACGTAATAATATGCCATTTTTTGACGGTTGGGAAAATAAAACTTATCGTCATTCGCCACGGAAAACAACAGATCTAAATCACCGTAACCGGTCTAGAGGGAGACGCTAATCGTTTCGGTGATCGCTTTCCATGGTTCGTGCGGACTCGAAAGGTAACTATAATAATAAGCTATTGCGCGCGTTCGGGACGGCTCGTCGTTCTCGAACGGACGACGACGACGAAACGTTCATATTATTATTATCTTATGTACCTATGTGTGCGTGTGTGCGTGTACGCAATTAAAGTAAAAAATGAGAAAAAAAAAAAAGCCTCGATCGAACGTCAACCGTCGAGGAATACAAGTAGAATAAAAATTCTGGTCATTAATTTGGTCTTGCACCGACGGTGATCGCGCATCGTCCGCCCCCTCCCTCCCGTGTACGCATCGATGATGTACGACGTACAGGTTAAAGTATGGCGCGTTTGCGTACCGAAAATATCAGAAGAAGCGTAAAAGCAACAGCGGAAGTTGGTAATTTATTCCACCAGTAGTCGCGCGAACCAAATAACGACGGGCATTTCATATTTGTTGTACCGCTATAATCTACCGTTCAGTTTTAAACGCGTATCATACGAGTTTAATTTGCAGTCGTATTGGAAAAACAATATCTAACGTATTATGATTACGTTTTTATGTCGTGAAATTATACGACGACGGTTTGTGTAGCCCTAGGAGTCTAACCTGACGTCATAATGATAATAACAATCATCGACGAAATGCGTGTACAATAATTGTTTATGATACGCAGCAATCATTAATAAATCGATTGTTACGTACAAACAAGATTTATTAAAATAAAATCATCGAACGCATGTGCACCGACATAATAATGTTATTATCATAATTCGAATTCCGGTAACGTATACAATACACTTAATTTCGCTCCGTTCGTTTTATGAAGATTTTATTGCGGTTAATGTGCTCGTTGTAAGAGTTTTCGTGAATGCACGTATTCGCTGTAATGTATACGGAAAAACTATTAAACATCGATATTACGAAATAGCATAATATACATATTATTCAGTTCACGTGAACCAAAAGACGTACTATTATCGTAAAGCTTTACGCATAATTCAATAACAACACGACATGTTATGTTATTTATTTCAATTTGATGTTATTCGAATAAAGTCGATAAAAATTAACAACGTTTTAGGTGCTTTTTGCTATAGCCCTTGCGATACGTTTCTAATAAAAAAATATATTCCCCCTTGATTTGGACATTGACTTTCACCGAACCGCAAACTACTTCCTTGATCGCGTGCTACCTTAATGACAGTTGACACACACACGCACACACTCGCTACATATCCACGCATCAATGTCGTGTGTGTTCGAATTAGAAATCGACTTTAGATTTAACACAAAAATAATTGAATGCTCGTACGTTATAAAACGAACCATTGATTTTAGATGATAAAGGCAATTTTAGATGGTTCGTAGAAAAAAAGAAAGAAATATCAATTCTGGTATGCCGAGAAAACCAAATAAAACGTAATTCAAACGCACGGAATCGTATTTCAAAAAAACTCGGTAAATTTTAAGTGGCAACTATCTACTTCTCAAAGTTAATGAAAACCGTGTACGGCTGTTTGATCTACGTGTATATATATATACGGTAATAAAATAAAGAAAAAAATGTCACAAAAAGTATATCTCTTATCACACGCGGGGCCAAGGGTTGGGAAATCTAATCAAAAACGAACTCAGGTTCGCCGTTACAGCGCGCACGCGGAGAGCTTGGAGGAAACTTCGATAGTAATGAAAGAAGAGAGAGAAAGCGAGTAAGAGAAAAGGTAGCTGCGTGATGTTGTTTGAGCAGCCCGGCGAGGCCGCCCCTCTTGGAGGGGTGTCAATCGATAAAATGACACGTCGGCATGTTGCAATTATTTTAGTTTAGCTCGTCGTCGTCGTCGTCGTAGTTGTTCTCCACGTAGACAAACAGGCTGCTACTGCCGACCCATTTTGTTCGCACGCACTTACATCGTTTTTACGTGTAATAGTGTTTTCAATGACGGCATTGATGACTCTCGATCAGATTTAATACTCGACGGGAAAAAACATTTTGGGGTAGTTGAGTCGATATTCAAATTAATTTACGGTGATGGCAGATTAAGACCCAGTAATGGGATAGGCGCGTATCCCCTCGTTTCACGACGTGTTTTTAGGGTTAGGATAAAATAAAGAAAATATTGTAGCGTGGTAGAGGAAAAACGTTGTAGTGACTCTTTTAATCCTTCCGTCGTCGATGTATCGCAAATCTAGCGATTCAATAAGACGCGAATCCTTCCCCGTATCTCCCTGACCTATCCACGCAGAGTAGCTGATTATACCTAGTAACTGGATACCGTTTGCGTGTAAGCCTTAAATATTCATAGTATACCGTAAGACAGTTAGTTTTTTTCCGGTGAATAGCAACTTGGACGACGACGGGACGTGTACTGTAATATATATATATATAATATCGTATACCGGACGGGACCGAAACCGCGACGCGCTACAGAAGACTGGACGATTGACAATGTTTTATTGTTGTCGTCCGATGGTATCTTACCGATAAACAAGAAAAAAATGAGCAATCCCAGTTCTCGCATGGAGGCTTTCAGTGTGCGTCCGAGAATCTGCAATCCCTTGGAATGTCGGGACAATTTGAATATCCTGAAAACCCTCACGAGCCGGATGACCCTGAGTATAGCCAATGACATGGCCTGGTTGGTGCTCTTGTCCTGCGGATTCTGCGGCGCCTTGGGCAGGTTCATCGTGGGATCCTCCTCCTCCGCGATGACCGTGGCCAGCGTGATGAAATACGGTATGATGGCGATTATGTCAATCGTGTTCATCACGTCCTTGAAGAAGTGCAACTTGTTGGGACATGCGAGAAAACGGACGGACAACTCGAACGTGAACCACACGATGCATATGGTCTCGATCAGGAAGAATGGGTCAGTGATGTCGGGCACCTCGTCTTCTTCGATTTTTGTGCCATTCGTCGTCGTGTTGAACACCTTATAGTGTTTGAACTCTGGCAACGTTTCCAGGCAAAATATCACAATGGACAGCAGTATGACGAACACGGATATGATGGCCACCACCCGGGCGGCTTGCGAGCTCTCCGGGTACTCGAACAGCAGCCACACCTTCCGTTGGAACTCGGGTTTTGGCAGTGGTTTTTCTTCTTCTTTTATAAAACCCTCTTCTTCCCTGGAAAACGATGGAAACGATTAGCAGCTGTATCCCAATAATACTATATCAAATATTGTAATGTTAACCGAATGGGCGCATTGCCTTTTTAACTATATATTAATACACAATATATAATCTATATGACGAAAACGGTCCGATTCAAACGTGGTACATTGGATTTCAAAAGGAAAACACAAAGCGAATGTTGTTTACTCACGGACGTATATAAAAATACGCGTATAGGCGAGTGACAAAAAATAAAATAAAGGTATTTTGTTTGCAATGAGAATTTTGATAGTATTCTAAAATTGACGTTTATGAGAGCACTAATGGGTACAATATAACATGCGTTGATAAACATTTTTATAGACAAGTATTTTATATTAATTATAATCGAAAAGCATTATAACTGGTTATCCAGAAAAAAAGGATAAAAATAGGTATAGTAAATACATTATATATATATATATATATATAAGTTATGAGAAGAAGAAAAATTCACAGGCTTTCTTTATTTTATTTTGTATGCATTTTAAAAGGTTAGCATCGTCGTTTTATACTGCTAAAATGTATTTTTTTTATTGAATAACTTGGTTGATAATATAACTATATGAGCGGTACTCTCTTTAAGTACAACTTATAAAGAATATTGCACAGAGTTTTTTATCGGCTTGATAATACATATTTTATAAATGATTTTATAGTATACGTTCATATGTATTTGTATAACATATAAATACATATAAACGTATATTATAATATTATGTATATATATATAAAGTTATATTTGAATTTCGAAATATTATTTTGATTTGATTTCAGTATCAATCGTCATTTCCGAATTAAATTAAAATATCCATTCCAGTGACAATAGCTAAGGAGAAAATTCATTCTTGTATATATATATATGTATATAGCAATTTAAAAATTCGTTATCGATTTGTTTTCTATTGAAAATATTTCTTCATTTTTTATTACAATATGGACCATTTTTTAATAATTTTAAAATAACTACAGTAATAATTAAAATGTCCAATACGAATTAATATACTTTTTAATAATAAATAATCAAATATTTTTTACGAATTCTTCATTCCAGACAGTTTTTTTTTTTTTTAAGTATTATTGTAAAATAGTTTTATTAAGATAATTAATTCCAATAAATACAGAAAAAAAATGCATATTAAATTATTATCAAAGAAAATTGTTTGAATATAAATGACAGAAAATAAACTCAAGATAATGAAAAAAAAATAAAATTAAAATAAAATACGTATACGTATTTTAATACTGTTAAGGAAATAATGATATTGGATTCGTTTACATTATTGTATTTTTTTATGTGCATTTAATGTTTACATTAAATCGTAATTATGCGATAAAAAAACGAACACATCAAGCCACAGACAAGAAGAGCAAATAAATAAGAAGAGAAACGAGTATATGTAAATAATCATGCAACGTGGTTTAATGTGTGAAAAGAATTGTGTGGTTTTTGCCGCAAAAGCGCAGAGAAAGAAAGAAACCATTGTTCGTCTGTCTTTGACTTCAAGATAGTCACCGTTTTACGCAAATCGACGGTTAGGCAATATAAACTTTTCCACTGATGGATAAATACGTTTACAGTTAGACCACGCATGACCATGTCATCGTCGTATGCTGTTTCCTTTTCACATAATATTATTATGATATCGAAACTTCGAAATTATTAATCTAAATATTGCAGTTTATAAGATGTTTTCATCGAATATTCCAGAAAAATTAACTTACTTAGCTGGACTAGGATTTGTATGCAACAGCATGTTTTTGTTGCTACTGTCCAAATGGATTTTAATGAGTAATGTCCACAATTTATATTATTCTGATGAAAATGGTGTTATTTTTATTTTGCATGTTTTTGCATATTTAGTAGGTATTATCGTATTTATTGTATGTGAGGATGTAATTATTAAACTGATCAATGTACCTATATAACTTAGTATTTCTGTCAAACATAAATTTTATTTTATAAACACAATTCTATGGTATATATATATGCAATAAAATATTGAATAGTTCGACAGAGAAAAACATAATTAATAAAAGTATACAAGTATTAATATAAAATCCAAAATAAGATATATAATTTGTCAGGCATTAGTGTATTACATAAAATCCTAAAGGATTTAAAACTCTTTAATCAATAAATAAAGTATAACTAAAAGGAAAATTCACCGAAAACAATTTCAGTTATAGTTTAACACCAGGAAAAATTTCTTCATTTAAATATGCGCCAACTATATTATATGACGTTGAAAAAAGTTTTAGTTTCATACAATAATTGATGATATTATAAAATATTACTGAATAAGATAAGAAATTCAATAGCTGATCAACATTTTGAAAAGAATCAATTAATTTATTTTGATTTTAATAAAGTTAAATAATATTATATTTTTATTTTAACGTTATGTATCTACTGTAGACATTTATTGTCTGTATAATTTTATAGTTACACTTTTAGCTGACGTAATTATTTTTAGTTTTTATAATGCTATTGAATATTAAAAATGTTTTTTTTATTAAATTTATCATATGTGATTTTTATGAAAAACAATTGATAAATAAAACCCATTCAAAAATAAGAAAATAACCTTAAATCTAAAATTTGAATTCCCAATTAAGAAATGTATTTATTTCTACTTTAATTAGGGTTAAATAGAAAATATTCTTAAATAAGATTTTTATGTATTTTCATAATCATTAATGTTAGTTAAAATCTGTAGTAAATTATTAATATTTATATATATATATCACGTAGCAGCGCTTAATGTAAATATTTATATTTTTTTAATTATTCAACTTATTAATTGAAGTTAAGTCAACGAATTTTTTTATTTTAGTTGATGTAATTTGCATTTGAATTAACTTTATCGTTAATTCAATTGAATATGAACTCAATTAATTTAACTTAACTGAGTTAATAAATATCATTAACTTGCCAGCCTTGATATTTTGTGAATAAAATGCATATTTTACAATATTTATTGCATACAAATCCAAGTCCTGTTAATAACTAATATATTACCATGACAAATCGCACTATTGTATGCACACGGTGCATAGCATTAAGGTTGTCCAACCTAATCTGAATTCAACGTTAAACATTCCGATGGTAACATGAGTGTGGTTAATCATTTGTAATGCAATAGGCGTGTATATCGTTAAGGGTTTTCATTCACTGCAGCTACGATGTTATCTGATAAGGATTTCGAAAATCGATTTGCGAATTTTTTAGCGCATACATTTTATTTCAATAACATTTAAAAACTGCTCATAACGGTAAACAAACGAAAAATTGAACTATTGAAAGATTCTAAATCCGTCTACGAAATCATTGTCACCAGCGATTGTTCCAACAGTCTCAGTACGGTCAATAATATAAATAATATATAACACTATAGTTATTTTATAATATTATAAAATCCGGTATTCGGTTACAAAGTAATGTTTTAAAAAGCACTTCTCGCACAAGAACCACAAACTCACGCACGTGCACGTAGGTACATTAGTGCGTATTCTGCGCGAAATCGTTCCGTCTGGAGAAATTAAAATCAAAAACGTTCAATGGCTGGTCAGTGGTCAAACGAATGGATAACGGTATTACGCTCTTATAATGTGAACAAGTTCGGTAAGCCGAATAAGTATACATTTTTTCGAGACCGGAGAAATTTAATCTCCGAACGGCGGTTGTAATGATAAAAAAAAAAATAAAAAATTGTTGATGGAAATAAAAAAGCGTTCGGCAAAATATACGTAATGCGTATAGCATATATTTACATTTTAGATTTTTATTCATTTATCAATATCCTTACGCGAGCGCATCGTAATGCATAATCCGTGGTGTCGGTGTTGAATACAACTGTCCTTACATGACCGCCGAGAAAAAAAGACGAGCATGATCGTGTGCCGTGCGCTGCAGACCATACGGTGACGCGTGACCGCGAGTAGGCGCGTAGCTATTTTGCCTAACTCGAGCGCCGTGTCGATTCGCGTACGGACGGCTAACGATAGCGCAACGGTAATGGTGTTACGTAACGCTGTGCAAGATATCATCTGATGTTTCCTCTATGAATGAATCGGCAGCACGAAAGAAAATGAACTTCGATTCGGTGTCGGTTACGGTATAATCAGAAATCAATGACGATAATGAACAACATTGGACCTGTGACAAAAAGGTCCGTGACGGTAAATAACGAACTCGAAAGAATCCGTTCTGTACCGACGGTATGTAACTAGGTATCTCTTTCAGGAGATGATAAACGGGGTGAGGATGGTTTTTTTTTTTTTATTTCGATCTGCTGTGCAATTATACCACGGAAACGCGTTCGATCAAGGGTTAGGCCACTCGACCGTACCGGTAAAAAAAATAAAAAAATCAAAAACATTTTCCTCCAAAAACGCGAATACAAGTCCGTTAAAATGAAAATCAACACAATAGGTACCTGATATGTGCATGGTTAAACTACACTCCTGGTGGTTATTGAATTATGTAATTTTTTTATGATGGGTCATCGGTTGGTGGGAAACCGGGACGATATTGCGCTCCTATTAACACCTCAGAACAGTCAACCCTGTTAAAGAGTTTGATAATACATAAAACGTTGCTCGCACCCCCTCCACCGTCGGAATGTCACATACCGAAACTGTGGTATCGTGTGAAAGAGCTGTTTATCGACGGGCGGAAAGCGATTTGACAAGTAAAATGCGGACGGGAAATGTACGGGAGAAAAAAAATCGGATAAAAGCCGGTTCGAAAAAATGATCGTGTCTTAAGTGACAGCAGCGGCAATTTAGTCCTGTTAGTGCGGTAATTATGCCGAAATGCGAAATAAAACAAATTCGGAATTTACTCCACGATGACGGAGATGCACGAATTTTTAGAGTAGAGTAGGGAACGACGGTGAAATTCAGGTCGTATTGATCGCCCCGTCCTACCGCTAGATATAGGCTCATCCTCTGTGTGCGCTGCACCCACGTAAGCCATTTACATTGTTGCCGTTTTAACTCGTTTGCCCAAAGGCGAAATCCCGACCGCCATTCGTATCCACACTACCACCGTCGCGACGGTAGTGGTAGTTACTACTACCACAACAATACTGCTCATTCTCTCTACTACTGCTATTATTACTGAAACTAGTAACTACTACTGCGGCAGCTGTTATTGTCGTGTTTCCGGAGAAATATGCTGTCCCTGTGGACCCAAAGATTTTTTTTCTCGAGAAAACGAGTAGTCCAACAATTCAAGAAAAAATAAAGAGGTATATAAAAAAAAAAAAAAACATAATTTTCAACCGGGATTTTGTTACGACGTGCTCGCGACAAGTATATCGATTGATAGCGATGACAACGGTAGTGGTATACGGTACATATCGTCCGGGACTTTCGAAATGAAGGGCGAATGACGGAAGTCGTTACACCGGAACACGGAAGTATTTTCACCGGGACCCCACTCGCTACGAGTGAAGTAATTTTTTTCTCTCAACGACCTCGCTTTCCATCGCCCCTAACAAACATCACTTATAATATTATAGAGAAGCGCGATTTTTTGAAATTTAATTGTCATGTAGGCCAGGCAAAACGAGAAAAAAACAATAGAAACGCATTTGTCGTCTATGTGCTATACATGGGTGACGATTCTAATAATTTATCGGAACATAAATATTGTAATAAAAATACCGTTTGAAGTGAAATTGAACGGATTCATCAACCATCATAGCCCGATCGTAGCAAACCATCTGGTTACTGATTTATCTAATATTTATTGTTCCAAATTGTCAAAAAAATTAATTTGTTCTCAATATCGTGACTATCAAAAATAAATGTTTTTATCTTTGAATACTAATTGCGTTATTAAACTTCTTACTCGATAATGTTAGTTAAAATAATAACTACAGAATAAAATATTTTATTTTAATATTTTGATACGATGAAACCGATTTTAAAAATTTACAATTGAATTTTTTCGATACTATTATCATAATTATCATATTTTATAATTTTAGTTATTTTCGCAAACCATGAGGAAAACCGTCGATTTAGTAAAATTTTTTTCCATAGATAAGTACTATTAGAAAAAATTATACTTCAAGAATACAGAAAAATTATATTTGACATGAGTTTAGTGTACATCTATTTTTTTATTAATAAAAATTAAAAAAGTATAATTTGAGTTGGAATAATTTATTAGAACATAAAGTATTATTAAAACTGTTCCTGTAAGCCAATAGCTTTTTTGGGAATAAATTAATTTAGTCTCAACGTATATTACATATTTTGGCACTAGGAACTCAAGACTGGAAATGGGAATGTTTTGAAATAATACATGGCTCTAAGACACGTTTTTGTGTAAATACAAGCAAAGTCCTATAAAGCGAAAAACGACGTAGCTTGCATACCCAACTACCTATATTTACAGAGTTTTGATGATTTCAAGAACAGCACATTTGATTAAAATTATACATTTTTTAATCGTACCTATAGAACGAGTTAAATAATTTATACCAAATTCAGTGACAAATTTAACGAGACAATAATTAAATAAAAAAATATTTAATAAAATTAAATCTATAATTTCATCAATTATCGATGAAATTATAGATTTAATTTTTTCATATGTTATTGATAGTGTTGTTTGTGTTACTATAGATTTAGGTTAATACGCATTAATTGACTACATTGCATAGTGCATTAGATCAGGATGCTTGTACGATATGTTTCCCATGTCAAAAGATGCGGACGTATTTCTGAGATTGTGCGTCATTATGGTTGGGTTTGATCTGGGCTTCGTAAAATCACGTAGTTTACGATTTCCAATAGGAGGATGCGTTAACATGACATACACGTACGCGTGCGCAAAGTTCAAGACATAAAAATGTTCAGTTATGGAAAAAAAATAATGGAATGAAAGTGTTAAAGTCCTAAAGGATAGGGGCGCCGATTCTATTGGGGTTAAGCCTTCGGGTTATAATATAGCATGAACCTTTTTCGCGCAATAGTAGCCGCTTCATGGTTGTTCTTTTCTTTCGCTGCCATGCATACATTATGCGCTTATTCGACCCGAATTTTTCGTATGACCAAAGGGACAGGCATGTATATGTGTGACGATAAACGGATTTCGAGTGTGTCATGTACGTAATATATGATGAGCGTGTACACAGAAATCACGAAAGGGATAAATGTACGCTTGCTTAGATGTTTACAATGCGTCCCGATATATGATAATTTTTGGTGGACACACAATGCTCTATGTGGAGCATTCTCTACCAAACGGCTAAAGTACCAGTTATCAGTGAGAAAGCTGCACTCCCAGATATTTCGTTTTCTCGGATGGCTCTGATCGGACAACGTTCGGTGAGAAAAATTTACCTACAACGAATGCGGTAACAGCGGCACCAATACTGTTTTTTATTGTTTATAGTATTGTTTTCGGAAAGAACCCCAAAAGGTTTGTAAATATTTCTGCGACCGGATTGCATATTACGATCTAAATAGTTATTGAGAATCGGGTACCAAACGTTCAGTTGAAGAGAACGTTTGGAATATCATATCATTGAGCGTAGGTACCGAAAGAGTGGACGTACACGAGAAGACACGATTACGAGACCATGTAGGGACTACAAAATGCATATCTTGGTTTCCGTTAGGGGAAGTGGAAACACCCCTATTATTATAGTAGCATATGTTTTCGGCAAAACACAAAATTATAATTAAAAAAAAAAAAAAAAAAAACAACAAATAATGAAAGACAATGAAGGACATGGACCGATGACAATTAGTGATAATCTAAAGCTAAAGTTCACGTTAAAATAAAATGTTCGAGTGAACAGAGCCAACGGTAGGGCGCACACGGATTTCCGACCGCTCACCTGAATTTGTTGGTGGCCAGTTCGCCGAGCTCGTAGAACTTAATCTCCTCGGAGAACACGTCCAACGGCACCGTGGTCGGTCTCCTCAGACGGCCGCCGCTCTGGTAATAATACAGTATGGCGTCAAACGTCGGCCGGTTCCTGTCGAAGAAATACTCGTTGCGCAGCGGGTCAAAGTACCGCATCCGCCGGCACGGGTCGCCCAGCAGCGTGTCCGGGAACTGGTTCAACGTCCGCAGTTGCGTCTCGAACCTCATACCGCTCACCTGAAAGACACGCGATCATCAGAAAACGATCAAAAAATTTTGTCGACAACTTGTAGCAGTTGGATACGCAGCCGATAAGGAGCGAACACGACGTCTCTGAGGCGATTTCAGATTCACGGTTAGGAATTGGTTTCAACCTGCGTACGCGCCTGCCGTACGAGTCGAACCCGACCAAAGTTGCTCACTCTTACGCTTGTGAAACGCAATGTCCGTACGTAATTTCGCATCGACCGTTCAACGTTCGGTCCATGTCAAAAGCGTGTAGAGATAATGTGAAATCGTGTTAAGCGCGCACAACAGGTGTTATGAAACGAAACGGATAATATACGTATTGGTAACAGTGAAATCAGTGGCCGACCGCACTTCTAGGGACCAAACGGTACTTCACGTTTCGTACGCAGTTAGGTATTTAAAATTGTTGGCGATTGCGTACACCTCTGCAGACTAGATTGCACTTGACGCGTACGTCTACCCCCTTCTCCCATCCAAGAAGCGTTGGCGTTTCTTTTTTTTTTAATACGAACGGGTATCCGCCCGAGACTGGTTTTGATGAACTACCAAGGGGCTGCCGTCACCATCTCGCACGGGATTATGGAAATATGCGAAGAAAGTACAACGCGATAATGCGATTTTCGTCTAATAAAGTAGGTGAAAATACGTATTCGAACGTCATTTATCTGTTTTATACGTTTCACTACTGGGGCTTACCGAATACATCGCACAGTATATGTACATATATTTTGCATGCACACGCCGAAGCAAACATTACAATAATCACGGTACGTAATTAATTTCAAAAACGTAGTGTCCGTATCGTAAGTTTCCGGATAACATATTTTGTGCGGGCGTGAATCGTTTATTTTGGATTAGGCTTCAATAACCACTGAAACCAAGAGCTACGTACGAGAATCCCTTGTGCAACGTGAGCCAATCGAACCGTGCGCATGGCACGTGCGCCCAACGACATAAAAAATGCAAATGACTCGGTTCGGTTCTCGGAAGCGATCATCCTTGAAATATATACGCGTAGGTCGAAGTGGACTGAAATTGAATTCTGTTTATTCGAAAATAACATACCATATCGTTTACTGGTTTTCGTGTCTATAGTTTTTAACGTTCAACAGGGTTAGGTGTTTTAAAAACCGTATTAATTAATATATTATACTGTTACGTATCAATCGGCTGTAGCGCATTATAGACCGTCAAATATTATACGCATCCGATATGTGCGGCTGTTTATGAATACCATCTGAACGAGACTACGTCGTGTTTTTCGTCAAATTAAACCATTATCAGATGTAATCTAAATTAATGTATTGTTTTATTTAAATGTTTTTTTAATATCGTCTGTTACGAAAATGATAAGAAACCGAGCAAACCACACTCTGGGGAAAGAGTATATATTATATGCTTTGCGTGATAATTTCTCCAAGTACGTCCGAAAACGTGAAACAAATTAATCCTTTTATTAATTTTTTTAAAATAATGTAAGATAATATTTTTGCTTATCACGGATTGTAAAATGGTTGAAAATGTATTCTAAAATCGTTATAGTATATGTATTTTAGACATGTTTCATTGCGTATCATTCACGTTCAGGGTTAGACAAACACACCCGTTTTAATAGAGTTATTTATATTTCACGCAAAACTGTTCCTGAGGTTCAGGTAGAGAGAGAAGAACTATTGCAATTAATCGATAATCTTTTATGATAATTATCTCCAACGAAATGATCCTACATGTTTTATTTTTTTCTAGCGAATAAAAAATAATAACATATTAATAGCTATATAACTTAATTCAGCTTATGACCATAATTAGTCACACATTAGTATAATGGATTAACGTTATTACAGTGGTAATAGAAGGTAAACGTTTATTAATGCATTATTACACTACCGAGTATAACATAACAAAATACACTAATGTATTAATGGGAAATAATAAAACGCTTTAAAAAGATTTGGAATAGGTATAATGAGGCATCTTGCATATTTTATGTTATCCGTTTTGTCACCGTAAATGCATATTATAGTAACTAATAAAACAGAATACAAAACACGTATTAAAATAACTGCATGCGATATTTATTTGCTTTAGTACTAATTTAACAATATATCACTGCCGACTTATGATAAATATTATGAGTCTAGTGTTCACAGAGATTAATTATATATCACGGAAACAATACATGACTGTTGCGGTTCTATAACACAATCAAATACTTAATCTTAGGTGCCGGTATGTTTCTATATCACTCGCTTTTTACCGGCATTATGCCTAAAAAGATTTAAAAGGTATGAATCAGTGCGTGTTTCTTCGACATTTGTTCGTCAGACACGATCGAACGTTTGTGAATCAAAACTCGACGGAAGAATACGGTCATAATATACCCGATTCTAACAAATAAAAACATGTTTTATACGATTAAGCGTTTACGCGAACTCCATGAGAGGGGTTATTAATCCCACGAAAGGATGACGCGCGTTATAAACCATTAGAGAATCATTAATTTAACCGCAGAGTCGTCTGAAATAATAAATAACCTACAAGTTTTCACCATGCTCTAGGGTACTAACCTCGTTGAGATTTCTAAAGAGACAAGACCTGTCAAGCGAAGGTTCTAGTAACGACCACCACTGGGATGAATGTTCAACCGCTATAGGCAATATTGTTTCAAGGAACGCGTGGTGCACGACGTAGCATGAATCGTCGTAAAATATGAAAATGAAGTTTCGACGAGATAATATAGTTTCTCATACATAAAGGTTGTATAATGTCGAAAGGTCAACAAGAAATTTCACGTTAAAAAGTGGTATAGAGTATATTTTTTTCGTGTCCATAATTGTTAGACAAAACACTGTAGGTTTCACGTATTACATGTTGGTTAATTCGTTTTTATTGTTATTTTCCGTATACAGTTCTTGTATGCAAATCACTTTTGTCAAAAAACTCACATACAAATCAACACACACACACACACACACACACACACACACACACGTACCATCGAAGCTGCATTATATATATAAATTTTAATTAGTGCAACGCAATCACATTAAACATATGTCCAGGGAGCTGATTTATATAATAGCTGTTTCAAATCAAAACTCGCTATATGTTTGTAAGCCTTAGAAAGCTTCGCGCCATTAATAATTAAAAATAGTTGGTACTGCGATGTACAGTAATTAGTGTTGTGACATTAGGACATGGAGTCAAGTCACAATTATTACACAGTAGCCGTGCAGTGGAGTATAATTAAAACGAATGATCAATCCAAGCATTAACAACGAAATAATGAATAGAAAATTTAAAACAATGAATACAATAGGTACTTTAATGTAATAACGGTATTTTTCTTCCACGCTCTTTTTGAACACTTTTGTGTTCTACTGTGCTATGAAAAATGCTGAAGACATTACTGTCATTGGCTGAGACTATAAAAACGCGAGCAATGACCGATCGCGATACATTTCTGTAACTGTTTTTTTCCTATTCTCATAAATATCGCAGTGGAATATATTATCCTTTCGAATCGCATGAGTATAATAATAAGAGTACGGAAAAATACAATATAACACTACCCGATAGGGGCAATATGTGTAATAAAGAGAAGTTTAGAAACGAATGGAACGCGCATACTGCATGCGTAATATAATAAATACACATTTTACAGATAATGGTGTCGCAAAATAATGAAACGTAGTTCAAACGTTCTAGGTGTAAATAACAGTTTCCGTGTTCAAAAAGAAATTCACCACTGGATTCGCCGAATGACATGTTTGTGAACTTGTTCCTCGTACTTTTCCAAACAACGAAAATAAAATAAATCGAAACAAATTGGCAAGCCTTAACTAAAAAACTTATATCGTTCGGGGATTTGAACTGACCCCTACCCAAATGCAAACGCTGGACGCGAAATGTAATTCTTATAACTTCGATAAGGGACTAAAATAACCATCGAACTACTGTACGAATAACAGAAAATTTATACTTATTAACATTTTTCTGATCAAATTTCTACTTTTGGTCGGCATACAAATAATATTTGATAAAATTCACGAAAAAATAATATAGTATTTATGACAAACAAGAATTTATAGTGAAATTCAATAAATCTTGTTTTCTTTGGGTATAAATACTACGAACTTATAAATTCAAAACTATTTTCATTAAATTGTTAAATTTGTCAAGTGATGTAAAAATATGAAATAATAACATGACTTGTTGGAATGTTGCGTTTGTAAAATGAATAATTATTAAAATTACGCAGTGAAAAAGGAATTTATGTTTTAAATAGCTAATGTAAACATAACAGCGTTCGTATGATCACTCAATGGAGATCACGTAAAGAGTTTGAATAAAAGTCAACGGTCGTTGCGTTAAGAAAAAAAAACACATACTTATGTTGTACATAAACAACGAGCACGTATGTAGCAAACGTAAGGAAGACTTGCCACCACTCAGTTTGTTTTTCGATCAGAATTGAACAGCAAAAGTCAAGTCATCGGGTGGATAAACGAATAAATTAAAAACTTATTGGAAGAATTTCGCGGTCCACTGAGAGTATGTCCAAAATATTATATTTGACGTTCATCTGCTGCAGATGTAAGCATAACGGAAACCCCTAATCATATTCATTATATATTATAATATACATTTCACTATTATAAGTTTGTGTCAAATTAATTATGGAGCTTTTGTCTTCTATTCAAGTTTGTTTATGTAAGGAAATCGTTTAAACAATTAGTTCTGATTGCATATTATATTACGCCGAATAAGTGAATTTGCTGATTTCATGGAGTCGGTAATTTTCATGCATAACAACTTCACTAATTCGGTGCAACATATACATTACTAGTATAAACGTTTCATAAAAAAAAAAATTCATCTAATATACGAATTTATTCGACGAGCAGTGAAGAGCAGTTTGACGACTGAGCAGTTTAGATGCGCCATGTATCTTTGGTAGGAAACGATTATTGTTAATTCTACGTGAA